GCTTTTCTTTGCCTTGTGGCGGAGGCAGGGAGGGGGAGAGACTATGTCTCTCCAGTCTGTTACACTGTGCAGGGTCACATATACTGCTTTAAGGTGTCATTCCTGCAAATGGTAATTTGAGAGTGTAGGCATACAGTATTAATGAAACAGAGTACCTCAGATGACTGCATAGGTTAGCAGATCTCGTTCTGTCCTTACAGCTGCTGGGGCAAACTCATTGCGCAATTTCCTATCGAAAGGAATTGTTTCTTGCCATACTTCTACAAAGCTACAGTTATGATTTAAAAGATCTTGTAAATCACTATCAAGATTGGTTATAATGGATTATACAACATACTGTTTGGGATAGGGGCAACTGGTCCTGCTGAGTACTTAGCCTTGCCAAGACAGTAAGATTAGGCGGGCTGGCAGGTGGGAGTCTGGGGAGCAAAGGAGTTCCTTAGGCTGCAGGGGAAACACCAGACGCGGGAGGTCAAGGTCATTCATTGGTGTTCTCCACTCAAAGGAAAGATCCAAGGTGGGCATTGGGATGAGCAATCTCAAGTCGTACTTGACAGATAGTTAACTTTGAGGATCATGTGGGATGCACCAAGTGATAGTCCATGAGGATGCTAGAATAGAACAGGCAGAGGGTTGAAAGACCGAGGAACGATACCGGTTATTATTGTACAGTTCAGTGAGATCAATGTTGCTTTTGAATGGTTCCTCTTAGCTATTTTCTTAGTAGGTTTTGACCAAGAAATAAAAGATGAAATATGAACACCAGAAATAGGAAGCTACCCAATGTTCCCGTGAGATTTCTTATCGGACATTGTTCTTTCATAAGAGAGCACCTGGGTTACTCTGTCCAGACAACATATGCTTCTTCCACATAGGAGGTTTTATTTTTGATTCAGAGTTGTTAAACACACAAGATGCCAAAGTCCTTGCTGATGTGAAAGACAAGTCCCTATTAGTCTGCCCCTCCTCTTTTTTCCCCAAGTGCTGCAAGGGGTGAGAGAAGTCTCTTGCTCTGCTTCTTTCTCAAACCATCCAACAGACAACTCTGCTGCCATCCACGGCTTCCCCGAGAATCTCCATTGTGCTGTTCATAGCTTCCATGCTGCTACAAAGTTCAGAAAAACACTGTTGAATTTCCTCCTGCTGATATTGTTTCTAACTGAGTAGAAGTAAAAATGCACTGAGGCTGCTTATCTGCACGTCTTATAAATGAAATTGCATTGAATGTATACAGAGGTCAGACTGGATATTTGCAGCTACTAGAAGTTATTTACAATGGACGTTACGGTTTGTAAGAACTGAATGTAAGCCCCCTTATTCGTCTTGGCATGATGTCTGTTTGTTTGAATTATATCTTTTCAAAATACTGCTGAAAGTCCAATTTGCCTACTTTCTAGCAGTTTCTGACCACATTAGCTGTTGGAAGGAGGGTTAAAAATACACAGAAGTGTGGATATCACTTTCACATTTGTAATAGAAAGAAAAAAATGTTTATTGCACACTTTTATTGCCAACAATTTCTTGGGATAAGATTTTTCTATTCATGTTTCCTGTTGGATCAGTAGACGAGTTCAAAGTGTGTGCTTGCCTTGTGACGTGGGCACAGTCCTGCAAAAGTGATTAACATAATATTTAACATTTAAGTAGCTTAAATAGCTGGCACTTAACACTTCCGATGCAGCAAAATTGGGCATGTGGTTGCGTCTAAGGATGCCATTTTTAATTTTTGACTAGGAGTGCCTGTAGGAGATTTGTCTTCTGCCAGATTGGAAACTGTTTCCTGGGTTGGATAAAGTCATGAAGCTCCAAGGAGGAGATGGACACCAGTGGTCACATGCACAAGCTACTATATATATTTAAGGAAGCAGTTTAGACAATTGGTCTCCTGCTCCTCCAGTAGAACAAAGCTGCCATTACATGAGCAGCGCTAACCAGATTATATACTTAATGAAATATCAAGGCATTTAATTCAGAAGTAGTTCTTGAGGAAGCAAACCAGGGATACTGAATTTTAGAGGACATAGTCTATGCTACGCAAAGTCTGCGTTTCATGCCTAGCAGTAACCAACAATAACGAGAAGCCATTAATCTTTACAAGAAACTTAGTGGAAAATTCTGCGTCCCTTTGCTGACTCTGCTGCCTCCTGTGTCAGCTCCGTGTTGTGTATGTGTTGCATGTGCAGAGGCAGGTGTGAGCAAAAGGGGGGCAGGATGGAGATAATAGCCTCTGCTAATCCCCCACTGGCATAATGTCCATTAGGAGTCAGTGATGTAAATTAGAGTCGAAACCCTGCTGTCTCTCTTCCCTCAAGGTCACAGAATGAGCCCCACGTGTCCACCAGTCTATATCTAAGCACAACTTGTTCATCGCAGAGAAATATAACTTGAATGTAAATCTGATCTTTTGCTGTATTATGGACTGGTATGATACATCTGTAAGATCTCAGCTCATTCCCCTGCTCCCCTTTCAGGTGCCAGTAGGAGTACTGGCCAACCTGAGATGCAGGTACCCAGGCATGGCTTTGGAGTGCTTCTGCTTCCCAGCATTACAGAAGAGGGATGTATGTTCCTCTATAATTTGAGGTTCTCATAACTGTGCTCAAACTAGACATATGAAGTTGACTGTACAAATACTTCCTGCCTTCTTCCTTCCTTCCTTCCTTTCTTCTAGTCCATGGGTGAGCCCTGAGAAAGTTCAAGTTTTTTAAGCTCTGTTAATTTCAAGTATTTTCTCTCTGATTTGGACTTTTCTGTCTGGAGGGCTGCTGGCAAGCGTAGCCTTAAGACATTAGCCTTTCGTTTAAGCTGTCTGTTACTGAGCTGAGCCTCTGGCAAGTTAGTCACAGGGGGAAGATTGCCACCCCTCTTGCAGCATCCTCCAACGGCCTTCTGCTGCCCTGAGTCTTGTGGCTGGCTGCCCTCCGTGTGACTGTGGTGTGCCAAGTCCCCGAGCTGTACCGAGCCATACTGGTGTGAGGGCTGCATAAAGACAGCAAGCCTGGAGCCTAGTCTAACGTGTGGTCCTACGGATGGGTTTAGCAAGCCAGTGGCAAGGGATAATGTTACAGGCAGCCGCATCCAAAGGTCTCTCCCTCATTGCAGTCATAAATTGTACTCAGTCGGTTGGCAGATGATGCAAAACTGAGAGGAGTGGCTGGTACACCAGATGGGTGTGCTGCCATTCAGAGTGACCTAGGCAGGCTGGAGAAATGGGATGAGAGGCATCTCTTGAAGTTCATCAAAGGGAAATGCCAAATCCTGCGCTAGAGGAGGAGTAATAAATGCAGCAGTACAGGCTGGGTGCCAACTGGCTTTGCATTGAAGTGGTTGGGGGTTCCTGGTGGGCAGCAAGTTGAACATGAGCCAGCAGTGGGTCCTTAAGGCACGGAAGGTCCATGACATTCTGATCTGCATTAGGAAGATCATCACCAGCAGGTTGAGGGAGGTGATCCTTGCCCCGCCTCTGCTGAGCTCTGGCGAAACACATCTGCAGTGTTGGGTCTGGTTCTGGGCTCCCCGATACAAGAAAGACATGGACATACTGGAGCCAGTCCAGCAAAGGGCCACAGAGGTGATGAAGGGACTGGAGCATCTGTTCTCTGAGGAGAGACTGAGAGCTGGGACTGTTCAGCCTGGAGCAGAGAAAGCTCAAGGTAGGGGACGGGGGCGCAGGTCTTACCGATGTGTATAAATACCTGATCCCCCACCAGGCAGAAGACAGAGCCAGACTCTTCTCAGTGGTGCCCAATGATAGAACGAGAGGCAATGAGTAGAAATAGAAATACAAGGAATTCTTTCTGAAGACAATAAAATAATCTTTTATTTTCACTGTGAGGGTGACCGAGCACTGGCACAGGTTGCCCAGGGAGGTTGTGGAGTCTCCATCCTTGGAGATACTCAGAAGCTGTCTGGATATGGTCCTGGGCAACTGGCTGTAGGTGTCCCTGTTTGAGCAGGGGGGTTGGACCAGAGGATCTCCAGAGATCCCTGCCAACCTCAGCCATTCTGGGATTCAGTGAAATATTTACGACACTTTAATAATCTTACGTGGCTACACAAATGGCTGCACTTTCCTCTCTCTGCTCAAAGTGAATCTGGGATCTCTGTGTTACATCTTTACAGAGAGATTTTTCAGAAGGAAAACTTATGTACCAGAATTCCATTAATTATGAGTCATGGGAACATTTATTTTGAAAGGTTTGTATTTTACCCTGTTTAAAAGTTGTCTTTAGTTTAGAATTACTTTTTGGTTGCCAACAGAATTGTTTTGGTTTTTTGCTCAAGTTGAAAATATGTTTATGTTATCAAAACAAATGTCATTGTGGGAAAAGAACCAAGCATTGCCAATGTTTTTCATAGCAGTGATATTTGATTTCACTCATTGCGAGTCTGGTAAACCACTTCAGAAGAGAAAATGTCATTCTAACACGTACACATACACACACGCACATATTTGAATGCCCACGTATTTTGCCCTAAATTCAGGCTATATTAAATGTTCCTGCAAACGCGCCCAGGTCAGATATGATCAATATGGCTTGGGCTATCTGTTGCTGGTACTTCTTTAACCACGCCTGAGGAGCTCTTTTGAAACAAACGATCTCTCAGTAAATACTTCTTATTGCCAGGTCCCTGAGTCACCCTGCAACCTGGGATCTTATCTTCAGTACACAAGTGTATCGGGGGTTTCGTGAAACAGAGAAATAGATTGTATGTCTTTTTCTGAGGTCGTATTTCACTCAGGAGAGAGCAATCATGTTCCGACTTCTCTCTCTTGACCAGTAGATGGTGAAACAGTCTGAAAAGCAGAAGATACTACAGAGTATCTTTAAATAAGACTGTAACATAGTATGAGCTTTTAGTTCAGGAAATTCAGTGAATTCAGAAGTATGGGGTTGGTAGACAAAACCTGCAGTGGATTTTAATATAATATTTTTATATCAAGTGTATCATATCATTTTATATTGAGTTTACATGCCACATTCTCTTTTTCTTTACAGGGTATATACCCAGTTACTTAGACAAGGATGAGCTATGTGTAGTATGTGGGGACAAAGCCACCGGATATCATTATCGCTGCATCACTTGCGAAGGTTGCAAGGTAAATGGCACAGTGGGAAAGTGGGAATCAGAAATAGCTCTCCAGCTCCTCCATTATACAGACTTCCTGACCTGTGCTGTCAAATAAAACAAAGACAGATGAGAAGCGAATAAGAACATCCAGTACTGATGATAAGCCCTATCTGACTATGCCAGTACTCTTCATATGCATAAGGAATATAGTTGATTTTTGCAGTGTTTGCTTCTGCAAAGAAAACGAGAAATTTAGATTTTTGTTGTTGCTGTTTAACTGTTAGCTTTTACATTTCCATTTTTTAATGTTTCTTTGGCCATGTTCAGCCAGTGTACAGCAGCATACTGCCAGCGACTGCAGTGAAGCTGTTTATGCAATAGCTGAGATTCTGCCTATGGCCATGAAGAGTCTGTAATGATTAACAGTGTTCCAGTGCCTCTCATCATCACTGTGAAGAAGCAAAAATCAAACCCCCTTCCACATGCTCATCCAACAGTAACATCCATCACTTTGGGAAGCATTGACACCCAGCTAAAATGGTTTCAAAAAGATTTTGACTTCTTTAACTTAAGCATATTGAAATGTGCTTTCAGCCCTCAATTGCATCTCCAAAGCTATGTGCAAAATTAAAAAAGAGATTGCTTTGGGCAAGTAAATAAATAAAAAAATTGAGTAACGCAATCAGGCACATCTTACATGATTTCACTGCCATAAATTTGCCTGAATAGCTTGAGATCCTGTAAGAAAGCTATTCTTTCCTGCAGAAAATAAAAAACTATTGTTTTTTCTAAACAAATAGGACCACACATATCATGGACTAGTGTCCTGGGACTAAGCCACAAAAGTTGTATTCTGTTCATCCCCAAAGTCTGGAATATTTGGATCTGAGATTTTGGGTTTGGATTGGCTTTAGAGTCCCACATCACAGTAACTCTTGTGTTGAAGTAGTTCCTTCAGTTGTACAGCATTGCCCACAAAGACCTAAATATTCCATGTGTAGCAGATTTGTGGTACTATTCATAATGGTTTTTATACACGTACATACCTGATATGTATGAAAAAAATATTTATATCTGAAAAAATGGTGGAACTGATCAAGCGATTCTTACGCATTTGCATCCCATATACCAGATGATAATAAAAATGTATGAATATAACTTAATTTGGATATAATGAGAAGTACGCAACACTGGCATTATGAAATATCTTTTGCTCCCAGCTGAACAGCTATATCTCTCGTAAGCTTTCCTACTAAGGTTTTTGTTACTCTTGTTTTATTACTCTTTTTATGCCTACCAGCTATTTTAAAGATACAGCATACAAAATCTACTTTTATCTTCAGATACAGTTATTCTGCCTGATGTACAATTTAAAATAATGCTTATGGGCACAAGGAACTGAGCTAACAATTTGCAGAAAGTCATTGATTTTTTTCTCCTACTTATAGTTGGCTTACAAATGGACCATTTTTTGTTTTGTTTTGATTTATTGTTCTTCTTGCAAATGTATTCATTGTACAAGATGATATTTTTTGTCTGGACAATTTCAACCCATGCTTTGAAGGATCTGCATACACACTTCAAGTTGTATGATTTATTGTTTAAAGTTATGTGTAATCAATTCTCAATGAATTTGACATTTACTAGTTGCTTCCGCTCAAAATCACTTTAATTTTGTAACAACATTAATCAGGGCTGACAGCCAAAAATTTGCTTTGGCAGGTGCTTTCATGAACAAAGCATCCTCACACATGATTTCTGAAGAGTAAATTGTAAGGAATTTAAACACAAATAAACCAACAGTGAGTTCTAATGTCACTGACATGTTTCTCCGGACTGTACCCATTGCATCTATTGCTATATGGGTGCATAGTAAAGGAATTTAGGAAAAGAGTAGTTGCCTTACAATAAAATGTGCTTTCTTTTATTAATGAAAATAACGCTTCTGTGATGAAGTGCTTGGGCAAATACAGAGAGCGGCTTCCTTATCACATTGTATCTAGAGATGAAGGAAGAGTTTTTTGCCAAAAGTTCCTGAGAAATGCAAAGTAATGGGAAGATGAAATGTGCTGGTCCAACATAGATGATGAAGAGCCTTGCTGTTGTAAAGCTAGAGCTATGTGAAGTCCCATGCAAGGTTCAGAACAGAACAGAAGTTCAGTACCGCTTCCTGAGAGTCATCAGAGATTTTTCCATCTCTTGCTATAACTAGAGATTACCTCATGTCCCTGGTTGTCCAGAGCCATCTGCATCTTCAGCGAGGAGAGGGGCAGGTCCTGGCTCTAGGAATTTGTCACAGGGTTAAGAGTGGATCCAAATCCAGTTGTTGCGTAGATGAGAGTTTGAGACCTGATCCAAACCCCACATAAGGACATCTTACCTGTGATTTCCTGCATTTTGGCTCAACCCAGCAGGTTCCAGTCTTGCAAAGGCCCACACGCATGCTTTATGCAACTCCATTTAATTGAGATTTCAGGTCTTACTGTTACTAAGGAAGAAAGAGTTGTACTCTTAGCTTGAACTGGATCTTGTAAGATAAAACTCTAATGAGGACAAGGCTCTTTATTGCCTTCACTGGAGTTAGGAGCTCAAGCTGAAATGCAGACTTACCTGTACTTCTTAATTCAACATTCTGTGTTAAAAGAAATTACACGCTGCTGTAAGATTTTACCAGGTGTTATTTAACACAATTAAAAACAGACCTTTCACCTAGTGAAGAGACTATTCATTAGATAAAATCCCAGCTGAAGAGGCTATTCATTAGGTAAAGTCTCACTTGAATTTTGCCATTGTTTTCGCTGAACTCAAAGCCATTCTTAATGGCCTCAGTCAAACAGGACCAGGTTCCCAGTGTGTTCTCTATGTCAAGGTGGTCTCAAGCTGCATTGCTGAATGTAGATGGTCTCAAACAATGGTGAAACTTGAAATTAAAGTGAAGCCTAAATTTCTTGCTTTACAGCCTATCTTGTCCATATCTTGCAGTCTTGGGAAGTTTATCCAGCTCCTGCAGAAGTCAATGAGAAAAGTCATGTTGAAATTAGTACCAGGGTTAGATCCGTAATGTTCAGAGAGTAGTCGTATCTGATTTCTTTCACCAGGGTCTATGGGGGTGTATAAATCAGTGAATTCAGTGGAGCTACATTAGTTCGCATGAGCTTAGGATCTGACCTCATATCGATGTTGCAATTGGCAATACAGATCTATATGATGATAGATAGATAGAAAGAATGGATTTATGTAGAGAGGGATCTTTATTGGTGATGTTTGTTTTGAATACAGAGGTCTGTGGTAAATACAAATCAAATCCTCTTCTCAAAAATACGGATAATTTAGAATTATAGATCCATTACTTAGAGCCAGACTCAAAGATTGTGTAAATTATGTTTGCAAAATTCTTAGTTTTACCCAGATTTGGTTGGTTATTTGGCTTTGATGGAAAAAAAGGAGTAGAACTGTTTGTTCTTAATCCTTCAGTAGCACATACACACCACCATTCTTAGTATTTCAGAAGCTGTTCTTTACTTAAAAGTATGTATATGCCTCTTAATATCCCTCAAAATGATTCTGTAATTTAGAAAGGGGCTCAAAATAAAGTCTGTAGTTCAAGTACAAGAAAATTTAACGCACAGAAACATAAGATTTCAAGAGGACATGTAGACAGTATTCGTCACTCAAGACAGCATTACTTATGCCTTTACTTACCTAAGATGTCTATATGTTTTTGATTTTATGGGAGGAAATGTTTCCTGAAACTCAGAAAAGAAATGCTATACACTATAAAACTGGTTTGTTCTTTTCCTCTTTGAGAGTTTCATGGAATGAAGTATGTTATCTTGCATACTTAGGTACATTCCTACCAAACTAAAGTGGCTCCCAGTTCGAAAAAATTGTGCAATACTAATGCTTTCCAATGTATTTATTTATTGCGCTTAGGGTTTTTTTAGAAGAACCATTCAGAAAAACCTCCATCCAACCTATTCTTGTAAATATGAAGGAAAATGTGTGATAGACAAAGTAACAAGAAATCAGTGCCAGGAATGTCGCTTCAAAAAATGTATCTTTGTTGGCATGGCAACAGATTGTAAGTATATTTTTCTGGTTTTCTTTCTTTTCTCTTTATTTTTTTTAAACGTGTGTGTTTGCTTAAATATGTTGATTGGTGAAGATCGTTAAGAGCAGAACAGCCAGCACTTTTTTGTTTTTAATAACTTGTACCAGAGAATTATGCTCATTGCATCATGCCACTTACATAGGGCTGCACCTTCTCTCAGCCTTACCAGGCTGAGTAACAGTAGGACTGTTCACTCTTTGAAGGAGAGGAGGGAGAAATGCATCTGGATGGACACTTTGATTGAGGAAAAAAACATCTTGTTTAGAAGATTCTGGAGGATGTGAAATTGAATGTCATTGTATGAGTCATCCTGCAGTTGTTTGTTTTATTTTTAGCCCTGAAGAAGTTATCTACTGCAAAGAATTTGACTCTCATTCTGAAGAACTAGAAAATATGGCTGTAAGATTAACCCTTAGGGGTCTTCTTTTCCTGCTGTCGCACAGGGATTTACACCGATAACTTCAATTAGTGCAGATGGTAGGAAGTCATGTAAATCCCCCTGTGCATTAATGTTCATGGTTGTTGCCGGCATTATCCTCTGCAGAAGAACTGACGGGAATATAATAATAAATAATAATCATATACATGATTATTATTTATAATAAAGTATAATGATAATAATCATAAACAGGAATAAACAACAGAAAAATATTCTAACTTGGTATTTTTCATTGTTAATGTAACGTTTATCAGTGCCTTCTCTCTAGAGGGAAATAGAGGAACTGGCACAGTTTCATTTTAGCCAGGTAGACCTTCAGGAGCAGGGCTGGATAACCCTGGCTCACCTGGGTTGTACAGAGTGAGAAGTTTCTCCAGGTCTGGTTCTCACCTGCAAGTGCCATTACCATAAAGCTGCAATGGCCTTTGTGGGCTGCACCTACGTATGCGCCAAAGGAGCTGTCATGGAGCACGGCGGACAGGGCAGCTATCCCGCAACTCCAGAGGTGTTTCTCCCACCTTTGAGTTAAAAGGAGAGAACAGAAACATGTAAGCAGGGCTGTCGTTGCTCCTGCCTACCTGCCACCAGTTGTGGATCGGGGTGGTCCTCCTCTGCTAAAGGGGGCCAGTCTGTTCAAATGGCCTATTCATGTTTGCATGGAAAATGGGATAAAACCTTCAGTGGTGCTCAGAGATGTGCAGCCCTGGGGCCTGTATCTGACATCACTGGAAGTAGCGGGGCTCTAGGAGAATGCTACAGAACAGCACCGTTTGTAGGGCGGAAAGAAAGGGCCAAAGGCACATTGTTTCTGATCGTGTCATGCAACAGGTAGTTGAGCCTCCTGTGAACAGGACAAGAGGAAACAGTCTCCAGTTGCGCCAGGGGAGGTTCAGGTTGGATATTAGGAAGAACTTCTTCACTGTAAGAGTCGTTAGGCATTGCAATGGGCTCCCCAGGGAGGTGGTGGACTCACCATCCCTGGAGGTGTTCAAAAAACATTTAGATGTGGTGCTTCGAGACATGGTTTAGTGGGTTTAGTGGGCATGGTGGCGTTGGGTATACGGTTGGTCTTGATCTTTGAGGTCTCTTCCAACCATAATGATTCTATGATTGTATGAATAAGTACTCCCACTTTCTTAAAGCCACTTTACCTCCTGCTGGCTTACAAATGCACATTGTACACGATTCAGAGTAGCGAGCGCGCTGATACTACTTTAAAGAAAACAAAAGTGCATTTCCCAACATGGATTACTCCAAGTCCATTACAGGAGCACTTTGTCCGAGTCCTCACTAAGCTTTTACATAGTAGTTTTATTGGTGGAATAAGCCACTGAAGGCAATGGCAGTATACAAAACATTACCAGAAGAGTAAATCATTTGCAATCTAGGCTTCTGAGAAGATGAAGTTTGGAGGGATAAAGAAGAGAGTTGTGTCAACTGTGGGTCATACCAAAGTACTTCTTTACTGATTAGTTAAGGTGTTTGTAATCAATTAGTAATCAATTAGTACCTCAGGCGTAGAAAAGACCAAAGTTCAGAGAGCCTTAAGAGCTTCCTGGCATTTTTTTATGCTTTTTCCCCTGCTAGTGGTGTTGGATGACAGCAAGCGGTTGGCAAAGAGGAAGCTGATAGAAGAAAATCGAGAGAAGAGACGTCGAGAAGAGCTGCAGAAAACCATTGGGCACAAGCCAGAGCCAACGGATGAAGAATGGGAGCTCATCAAAATTGTTACTGAAGCACACGTGGCCACCAATGCACAAGGAAGCCATTGGAAGCAGAAAAGGAAATTTCTGGTAAGGACTGCAGGCTTTTACACTGCTCTTGGAGCCAAGTTCCTTTCTTTCTTCTGAAGTCCCTTCCCAACACTGCAACCCCAAAGAGGGTATATCTGCCAGTGTGTTTACATTTATGAAAAACATGATTTTATAGTTACTACTTGCTTATTCTTGCCTGAAGCTCAGTGATCAGACCATGTATTTCAAAAGAGAAAGAGCATGTTGCTAAGTGAAGGCTTACCTAGCTGGATACTTTTAATATGCTACGATAAGAAAAAGTAGGAAAATTGTTTCACTCTTGATTAACAACAGTAGCAGTCTATAATGCATACCATGTCTTTTTTTATATATTCTATCTAGGGATAGTTGTCTTTATTAGGGACTAGCATACAACATATTGTAAGTTTTAAAACAATGTAAAGTTTTAGGTGAAAAATGGTACTTTTTATTAATAACTCATGTTTTTTGCTTCCTTGTTCCAAAGTAAACACATTAATTAAGATAAATTTGGCAAAGAAAAATGGATTTCAGTGAAAGCAGGATGATACATACACTATAGCATTGGGATTGCAGACTACAAGATGACTTAAGTTTTCAGCCTGTAGCTGAGAATCAGAAAATAAATGGTGATTTGTGATGCTCAGCCTTAGAAAAGGATTTGTTTGATTTTTCTAAATTGATTTTTAAAGGAAATAAGTGCAGAATGCAAAATGCTTATATAGCACAAAAGGGGGATCATAGACTGCGTTTCAGGCATACACAGGGGTCTTTAACAGTCTGTGTGTACCAAACCAGTTAGAGAATACTAATTTTTTGCAAACCTAGGCTCCTGCTCCCTAATTCACCCTGGGAATCTCGACCCACTGTTAAATTGCTAAAAGAGAAATTATGTATTCAAACCAACTGATCCCTTTTATAATGTTTTGTTACTTCCAGTGACACTGCCTAATTTCTTTATGAATGGCTTCACGTTCGTAGTAGCGTGCAGTCGGGAAACCCCAGCCAGCGATCGCTGGCAAGAAGCAACAGAGCACTTCCCGGGGGTGCTGCACAGCAAGGCTTGCGGCGCTGGTTGGAGCAGACCAAGAAGCAGCTGCGCTAGTGCGTTTGGTTCCTTAGACGGGAGTGCTCTTTGGGTATCGCCTGATTTGGGATAAAGCCTGGGGAGCTTGAGGTTGGGAATGAACACACTGGGCCGTGTAAAATGTGGTCATTGAGGGACTTTTGGCTCTGGAGATGGTGATAGCAGAGGGGGAGCCTCCAGCAAAGGCTGCCCAGAGGCAGGGCATGGGGTGATGTAACGACAGGGCTACTGGGAGAGGGGAGGGATGGGGCAGAGGTGGGAGTGGGAGCTGTAAGGGACAGTTCAGAAACCAGCTGTGTCTTCCACAGCTGGTTCTTAGGTCAGACCAAACTGCTCGGTGCAGCCCTTGCTGCAGGACCTCCTTTGTTCTTTGCAAAGAACAAAGAACCTCCAGGTTCTTTGCAGCTCTCACATGCTGAAGCCCAGTGGTTTCAAGGCAAGTGTAGGATGCTCACCAACAGGTTGTGGTGAGCACAGAAGGGAAAGGCCAGGATGGGATGCCAACCCCAGGTGGAGGTCTTTGAAAGCCCCTGCCACAAACTGATGAAGAGCAAGAGGAGCTGACCGCACGCCCCAGGAGCTGTGGGTCAGTCCTTAGGCAGTTGAGGCTGAGTCTTCAACAGCCTGAGCTCCTTTGAGGTCTGGACCTCTTTTCCTGTTGAGGTGAGTTAAGTGGCAAGGGCTCTCCAGTTGCATACCTTTCTGGAGTGGGTTAGCTTTAGCTAGCAATCCCAACTTCTTTTGCTTTTCCCAAGAAAATGCGCTGTGTTCTTTCTTTTTCTCCCTAACAACATTATGTGTGGTTTTAAGCATTTGGTCTTCTTGCTTGGAAGTGATGAAGGTTGTTTATCATGAGCACACAGACAATGTGGTTTAGTTTCCCAAGATTCAGGGAGCGAAGGAGCCTAGAAATGGGATTATTTAATTTTTTAATAGGAACTGTCAGATAATTGAGCCCAGTCCTCTTCATTGTTCCTTTACAATTGGTGCTTGCTTTGTTAATGCATTGCTGAGTTTTTTTCTTGAAATAAGTTAGATTTGGATTTAGATTGGTGACAGAGCTGTGGAAGGATCTTTTACAATGTGTTGCTTAAAAAAACCTGCCGATCTCAAGTTTTTATTGTAGACAGCACTTTCAGCACCTCCCCTGTTTAAGTGCCCTTATATAAATGTCATGAAGTCCATCAGTCTTAAAGGCCACCTTTTCTGAGTTTTGTCCTGTTTTTGACTCGCTAATGTGAACAAAATGGAATCTCTGCATGGTGGTCGGCAGGTCTTTTACAACTGCAAAGCCACACTTAGCAAACAGAACAGCTTTGATATGCTTGTTTTTAAAATACATGGTAACATTGATGAGTTGTCATAAAAATCAGGTGAAAAAGTTGAAGCACAGGTGGAATAGAAAAACACTAATCGCAGATTCTGCTTGAAGCCGTTTCATTGTTTCTTGAAATCCTCAAAATATGATTTTTTTTTTTTCTCTTTTGGAGAAGCTTTGGGCTGAAGTCATGCAGAAGGTGATTTTTCAACCAAAATTTTACCCAGACAAGTTCCAATTCTAGTCACTTTATCCAGACCAGCTTTGTGTTAGCCCATTCATAGTCATCAGTTGTTTCAGCCTGGTTTTGGAAACAGGCCTTGGCAGTTGCCTGGAGCTCTGTGATACCAGGCAATCTGTTCTGGGGAGGATTTCAGAACTTCGAGTAGGTGAAAGAGACCAATCTGCAAAGCTCTCAGCATCTTCTCAGGGCTGACAAGTCACCTCAGCTCCCTTTGCTTTCAGAGAAACTTGAAAGTTCCCGGTACCTGTAAGAAACAAGAACATGCCTATATTTTTAAGCAAAAAATGCATACACTACACCCACAAAATACTCAGATACAGACACAAGGAAGAAACTGCATGTGCACAAAAACATGGCTGCCCACACAGGATGGGTAGCGGCATGCCAGTCACCCATTTCTCTGTACATCACCCCTTTCACAAATGCCATACAAACAAATTCACTTTTTGTGGTGTAATGGACATTACTTCTAAACTGAATAGTGTTATTTTTTATTTTAGCATATCTTCCGTCACCAAGCAGAACTTTTTAGAGTATAAAATACTTGCTCTAAGATAGGTTGTTCCTTTAAATATGTTTCTTTATATCCTTAGCCAGAAGATATTGGGCAGGCACCAATAGTTAATGCCCCAGAAGGTGGGAAAGTGGATTTAGAAGCCTTCAGCCAGTTTACAAAAATTATTACACCAGCGATTACAAGAGTGGTGGATTTTGCCAAAAAGTTGCCTATGTTTTGTGAGGTAAGAAGACTTCCTTGCACTCCTCATTTATATGCCTGTTGTTAAAAACTATTCAAAATACTCCTGGCATGGAACTAAAAAATTCACTATGTTTAAAATCAGAAAAATTAAAGAGACTCAAAATAGATGGGACTAGAATCATCTGGATTTTTTCTTTTTCCTGTGATTACTGAAATCCTGATTTTATTCATCTAGAAGTCATCATGGTTTATTAAGGACTCAAGTGTGTCTTTAGAGGTGGCCTTGAACAAAGCAAATGAACAAAAAGAGACTGTTTAGAAGCATCTTTGGTACATTTAATCAGATTTCCCAGCACACAGTTCCCTCTGTGCTTTCTGGCTCCTTGGCAGGTACAGTATTGTGGAGTTGGGTCTATGCAGTAACAAATTCTTCAAATTCAGGAAAGCATCCCTATCCAGGAATGGCACTTGCCTCATTGTGTTCCTGAGGTATGCTTTTCCTGAACAGGGAGGTTGTACATAAACGAGTCTGTAAAAGTAACGGATTGTCATTCCAGGTAAATACTCATATGTAAAATATACAGTAAATAGACTCAAATAGACTTGGTAGCACATTAGGAATACAGAGGCCCTAGGCTGATCTCATTTACACCAAGGTATCATTATTATTGAAGGACCAGATGCGATGCCTGATTATATTTCTGTCCTAAGTTAAAAAATGTTATCAGAACTGCAGCCTGAAATAGTATTTCAGTCTTAGTAATCTTAATAATTTTAATAATTTTAAGTCTTGTGAGTGCCTTAGGATCCACAACCATGGGAGTTTTGACATGGAAATATCCCCAATCCAGCCATGGAAGGATGCCTGCCTGCTCACCCACACCGCAGAGCAACTCTTGACTCTGCTGGTGAAATGCCAAGTGAATGACATTCAAAATGGGAGTCACCATGGTCAATGAGTTCATCGGGCTCCTTAACTCAGGAACAGTGTTTCCTCCTAATAACTAAACATCAGTCAGGAAGTTTAAGGCAGCCATAGCATTTTACTCTTCTGTGGCTGGCAGCTTTTCTCTAAGGTCAGTCAAGGAGAGCTATTTATGTCGTCTGGCACCTACAGAACAAGAAGAGGTAAATATCAATAGTTGGCAGAGTGTAAATAGTAGCTCTCCCTGGCTGACCTCAGCATTGGCTCCATCAGCCAAGAAAGCATGAAATAGTGGCCAAGCATGAAGATTTTAAAATACAAGGAATGTGTCCGTAGATCAAGAGGCCCCTGCAGCATTCAGTGTCTGAGGGAATCTGTCTCCTCTGATTTGGCGTTTGTTGGTGGGAAGTTGCAGTGACATACCAAGGTAGTCTTTTTAATTTAGAAAGCTTTGCCAGTCACACACAGACTGCAGTGCCCATCTGACATCTCCTACCCCTCCTGGCTACCGTGGGCCCACTTGTGTCAGAGCCAGGCGGGAAGCATGGATGAAGAAGTCAAGGCATCATTGGGCATGACCTCTGTAGGTTATGCAGCTCACCTAGGACAGGCTTTGTTTACAGCTGAGCCACTGTGCGAGCCTGACACCCGTATACAGCAAGGTGTGATGGCAGAGTGAGGGACAACTCCTCATGAATGCAAAGGAATAGGACAGCTGTCCTCTGAGTTGTCATATAGCTCCTGCTGTAGCATAAAGAAAAATGACAAATGTTTGCTCCTTTTTGAAGGGGTGCCGTCCTGTTAACTCTATTTCAGTTATGTTTTTTAACCCATATCTTTTTCTTAGAAGCAACAGTGTCTGGGCTGTGGATTTGTTTATGAGAAAAAGCCCTCCTTTCTCCCATAGGACCCTCAGAGCATTTAAACATTATCTCAGTTCTTAGTTTCCACAGAGGCTCAGACTGAGAATGTAGGAAATCTCTATGAAGGAGGGGCATGGCAAGGAGCATCCGTGGTCACTTACATATTCACAGCTACTTTTCCTTCTTTCTCTCTTCTTTGGACACATGTGCAAGCCAGCAAAGCACTGTGAGTGCCCGGCTTAGTTTGTGTGCATCCATTGGCCTATGCCTCAAAGCAAGAATCTAATTCCAGAGTAATCAAAGTATAAGGAAAACTTTATTTACTTTGCAGCATTTCTGCTGTTGTTTCCTTCTTGCATTTCCTTCTGCTTAGAAGATGAAGATTGAGGAGCATTTAGTCAGTTTGATGTGAGTGAAAGTGTCATAGGCATCCATATTTCCACATTGGGTGAAGCTGTGTAAATGCCTTTCTAGGTAGCTCAGCTCCGCTCAATTCCATGGTACTACATTACACGTATGCTGGCTGCCAGTATGTCCTGCAGAGGTGAGCACCTCAGGTTTCAGCGTTTTGCTTCTTCTCCTTGCAGAGAGAGAAGGAAAGGGCAACATGTGGCAGATAATCAGTCACATTTGTTGACTCCTGTCCTGGAAGGTGCTCTGGTAGCAAGACTCAACTGATGAGCATAGGTGGCATTGAAACCTGCGTAGCTGGGAGCAGAACTGACATTCAAACCCCCTGGCTTTGGTAACTGCTGCTACTGGCAGATAAGACCTGAGGCTTGGCATCTGTGAAACAGGTGTCCCGTGTATCCTTCAGAATTAGGAAAGCAGGTGAAGGATGGGCATAGTCAGATCACCATTACCATGAAGGTTTTAAGTAGGTTCAAGTAGGAAGAGAACTTCTCATTGGTTTAATGCCTCTTAATAAAAAAGCTGAAGTGTCATGAAACATCTTCCCTACTGTTATGTACCTGTTTCTTTTCCACCATTCTTCCTTCTCCTTACTGTTTTTTGTTTTCTTTGTTTCTCTTTGCTTCTCCCTTCTCCATTCCTTTCTTTCATGTCCCTTTTTTCTCTGCAGTTACCTAGTCTGATATCTCTTCATGGTTGCTCTCACACATCCTTTCCTTTCCTTTCCTTTTCCCTTTTCCCTTTTGCTTTTTTCCTTTTTTTCCTTTTCCTTTTTCCTTTTTTCCTTCCCTTCTTTTTTCTCTTTTCAAATTTCATTTTTATTTCTTACTCTGTTTCTCTCCCCACTTCAGTCTCAGCAGCCAAACAGTGGCGTTGTTGTTGGGTAGCCAGACTGCCACTGTGCCTGTGCAGCCTTCCTGATGCTGCTGCTGAGCTGAGTGTCATCTGCAGAGAAAGTGATTTGCCCTGACTAGGATGAGTCTTTTTTCTTGTGTATCAAACACTTCACACCTGAAGTTGGCATTGCTGGAAAAACAGCTGTGTGATTCAACTCATTTTTCTGACTGTGGCTAGCTTCGTGCTTAAAACTCTTCTCTAACAGGGAACTGCCTTCCGCTTGTGTTAGGTAACTGTCTGGCATACATTCTGCATCATTTTACACCGAATCAATGTACTTGCTTTGCGAGTACACAGTTGCCACATAAACCTATAGTTGGTGGGTTTTTTTTCATTTTGAATTGCAAATCAGGGAAATAAAATAACTTTATATGAGTCAGAAATGAATGGATTTTTGCTTCCTTTCAAGCCAAGTAGAAATGAGTTGCTTTTTTGTATGTGTGACCTTTGCTGTTCATTTAGTGATGGTCTCAAAATAGTCTTGGTGGTTTTTACTATCATTGAATGACCTATGGAAACATAAGGACATGCTTTACAGAACACAACCTCCTAATGTGTCAGCATCCTGGTTATGTTTTATAAAACCAGAACTTCCCTCCACCAATTCCGACAGCTTACCTTTTTTAATGTTGTGGAAAACACATGTCTAGCCACATGCCCTGAAGATCATGGCTTGTGCACCAGCATAGAAGTTGGAGCTGTACTGTAGATTTTCTGTCTCTCCAGCAATAACGTAGGGAGTGTAGAGAGATCAACCTTACTAGGTTAAATATAGCTTAGTAAGTTCTCTGTTGTTTAAATGGGCAGTGAGAATTAAGAATACATGCCTTACTGATTGAGACATCTCTCCGAGATACAAAAATTTATTTCATTCCTTTTAATTAAAAAGCAGTCTACTCTTATAGACCCTCCCAAATGTCTTTCTTTTCCTCTGGTCAGGTAAGAAATAAGCATGGCTAGCAGTGAGTTTAAGCGGGATGGCTGAGGTCTGTACCAGCCCCAATTATAATTTATTCTGTTATGCTAAGTTGTAAGCTGAGTAGAAGAGTAAACAACTGAGAACAGTGACCACTTCAGCCACGTCAGTTAGATCCACCCTTGATGGGAGACAAAACCAATAGTATATGTTACCACCACCCTGGCACCTGACAGGTCTGCTTCACCCTTCACACTTTGTGAAATGTTCTGCAAAATGGAAAGCTACATGCGTAATGTTTGTTGGACTTAATTTTATAATGCTCCCATAAACTGAGCGGTCCCACGGAGAGCAGCATTTCTACAAGTTGGGTCACTTCACCTCAGCATCTGAACCAGCTTGGTTTGCTTTGAGTATCTTGCCCAGGACCACTTGCCTACAGCTGTGTCATCACTAGATTTCCTACGGGTGCGTGGGGATGTTAACCTGCTGGCAGTTTCTGAAA